GCGGTTCCTTCCCGCTGAGCGCCCGCGCGGGTGCCGCGGGGTTAATTTTTCCTCAAAAAGCACGAAGCCGCGTTCTGTACAGTGATGACATCGGGTCCTGCCGGCTGTTGGCAGCGGGCAGCTGCGCCGCGTTTCCTGTGCATGGCGTTGCGCTGAGCTGTGATGTCAGGAGGGCTCAGGAGGAAGCGGCTCTGCCGTAGCCCCGTGAGCGAGTGGGAGGAGAAGCGATGAACAGCCCCGGCGTCACCGTGTGTGGTACTTAGGCCTTTGGTTCTGTCTTTCAGAAAATGGCAGTGAATGTGTATTCTACTTCAGTGACTAGTGATAACCTGAGTCGACATGACATGCTCGCCTGGATCAATGAGTCCCTGCAGCTCACGCTGACCAAGATTGAACAGTTGTGTTCAGGTAAGAGGGCTCCAAATTCAGGCTGCACCCTCGTTCTGTAGAAATACAGCTGTGCTGTGTGAACTGTCTGTGCTGGCCTTCTGTAGCCGTGCAGCTGGCTTAATTCCTAATGAATTCCTTAATTCCTGGGATGAACAGATTCATGGTCAACGTTATAATCTGGTTGTGGTTGGAGTTTTATTGAAATGGTTGTTAATAACGTAAGGGTAATGAAAAGGCACGTTCTCTGAGTCACTGCAGCTGAGCTGCTGTAAGAAGGAGTGGGGGTTATCTGCAGAAAAGGCTCTTAGGAAAGGGTGCTTTCCAAGGAGGATTTCAGCATTTAGTCCTGGCTTATCGAGTAAGTCTTACAGGTGTAGTAACTAGTGTAAACAAATGCAGTGTCTCATGGAAGACAACTACTAGGAGATGTGGGAGGCTGGGCAGAAGGAGCGGTGTGAGGAGGTGTGATAGCTGCATACTGGCGGCTCTGGGTTCACCCTCAGGGCTTTCCAGCTCCACATGGTAAAGGAGCACGTCGGTCTGTGTCACCCCGGCTTACGCTGGCGTGAGCTGACTTCAGCAGAGCTGAACCTCAGATGGAGGTGTAGGCAGAAAAGGGGAAGTGATTGTGGTGCAGAAATGGAGTCAAGTGTCATCGAGGGAGGAGTGTGTGTGTGTGTGTGTGTGTGTGTGTGTGTGTGGGGGGGGGAGGAGGCCTGTAGAAATGAATGAAAAATAATAGTCTGTGGAGTAAGAGCTGAAAAAACCCCACAGCTAAAAATGCAGCCTAGGTAAGAGACGGTGATTTGGATAACTGCAGCGAAAGGTGAAAGGGACTTGGTGAAAAGTGGACGTGCAGCTCGTAGTACAATGAATTTGAGATAAGGTGTTGCTCACAGAATGAGAGATGTGAAAACTGGGGATGGAATAAATGAAGGAATAAATTTTTACAAAGTTTGGAACTGTCAGTGCAGCCTGTGGAAGAGACATTCACGGAGATTGCAGAGAAGTAGGGGACTTGCAGTAGATATCTGAGTCGTATCTGTAGTGGCTTTTGTCTAGTGAGATGATGGAGAAGAACTGTGAGGATGAAGGAGCTAAAGATCTAGAGCTGCAGAAGTCAGGGACATGAGAAGCATTGTCCCCTTTCAGACAGGCAGGTTAAAATCCTGCCATATGCAGCGTTGATTTATAGGGCTGAGAAGTTTTTCTTAGAATTGGTGTGAGCCTTGAACGCTGCGAGAGCTCTGTCTTGAGAAGTGAGGATAATTAATACTGGCTGTGCAGAATTTCAGCTCCCCTGTTCTCAGGAGGAGGCTGAGTGCTGTTGATGTGGTATGTGCCAAGTAACTCCCTTCCCTGTGTCTGCAGAAATGCTTCATGCCTCTGCAGGTGTGGAAGTGGCTCTCACTGCCTGTCATAGTCATGTGAAGACGGGAGTTTCCAAGCTTGCTGTGCTACCTGTGGCAGGGGCAGTTGTGACAGCAGCAGTGTGAGGCTGCAGAAATGCAAAAAGAACCTTTGGCTTGTGCTGTGATCTCTTTTTTTAATCGTGCCTATTGCTCAGACTGCCAATAGCTCACAAAGCCCTGATTTCTGTGAGTCATCTGTTTTTGAGCTGGGCACTGGAGTTCTTCAGCAAATGAACTGAAAGGCAGTGGAGATCAGACAGCAAGGTGGTTTTTTTGTTTTGTGTTGTTTTTTTTGTGTATTTGCATTAGTGGATGGGCAGCAATCTTCCAGTAACAGGTGAAAGTGGGAGCCCTAAAGACCTGCAAAATATCTTGACTGAAAGTGAACAATATAGGACTTTGTTGCCTGTGGTTGAGATGAATAGACTCCTTTAGGGCAACACGTGATGTGTTACTTCTCAGCCTCTAGGTATCTCACAAAAGCTTGTCATGTAGCTGGTTGATGTTCTGGGTTCAGGTTCCCATTGCTCCCCACTGATATTGGTGGGGGAATAATGCTCAGAATATTGTATTTTCATTGGCACACAGTTGCATATCCTCACTGCAGAGTGAGGATAGAGTTTGAAAATATATAATTTTTTAAATGGGTGTGTATTTTCTACAGAGCTGTTTTTTGGAGGTGGTGTCTGCTCTTTGTGGCTGAACTGAATCCCTCTTTTGCCCTCATTACAGTAAGAGCTGAATTGAAGGTCATGAAGGATTTAAAATTAATAGAAAGAAACACTGCCTCATTTCAGCTCATTGCTTAAGGCTTGATTTAAATATAATCCAGCTAAATTTGGCCTCTGACCTTTGAGGGCATCTTGAATTGTGTGTAGATTCTGTTTGTAGTAAGTAAATGTATCACTTTTTAAATAATTATGAAATATGACTTAGTTATTTTTCTGGTGTAGTTCTGTTGGTGTTGTAAGAGTGGCTCACGTGCCTGTTGCACACCTGAAACAGTTCAGATCTGTAATGCTATCCATGAAGAGAGGAAGGTCGCATGACTCACTGGATTCCTGGTTTTTCCTTTGGAATTGTGGAGGGAGGATTGCTCTCGTTCACGAGCTCAAGTAATGAGACCAAAAGTGTGGTTCTGCAGCTCTCTTGCTTAAGCTTATTTATGGCCACGCTGCCCCAAAGCAGGGGACTGAAGGCTCCTGTTTTCTCGCTGTTGTTGCCTTTCGGGGGTCGTGCAGCTGAGGGGTCACTCACATCAGTTGCTGAAGGTCTCTCACGCAGGCTGGCGAGCGGGCTTGGTTCATCCTTGGATTTGTGTTCTTTTTCTTTTGGCAGGTGCTGCATACTGTCAGTTTATGGACATGCTCTTCCCAGGTTCTGTAGCCCTCAAGAAAGTGAAGTTTCAAGCAAAATTGGAACATGAGTATATTCAGAACTTCAAGGTTCTACAAGCGGGTTTTAAACGAATGGGTGTTGACAAAGTAAGCTGGGTTGTAACTGATTCTCTGTGCTCTTAATATCCAAGTAGATGGAATGTGCTTTCAGATTTAGGGCTGAAAAAATCTGGGAACAGAGTTTGCTTTTGGTTTGTATGTGTTGAAACTTTTGATTTTGGTTGGCTTTGGGGTCTTCACTTGATTTAGGACAATATCTGCTCTACTCCAGCTAACGTTAGGTTTCCAGCTCTTAATGAGGAGGTGAATTTTTCCATTTTAATTCTGTGCAACACTAATATTGACATTTCTGTGGGATAAGGTTTCAAATTCCTCTTTACAAGCATATGTCATTTTAAGCTAGTGAAAATGAGATCTGAGAAATAAATATTTTTCAGATGGAATGATAGTTACATGTAGGGAAGGGTGATTTACTGAGGTAATAGTTCCTGACAGCATGTTGGGTATGAGGCAGAACATTTTGGTGTTAATGTTTTTTCCTGTCTTTAAGACCTCCCCTGCCAGGTCATTGACTCTCAGCTCGTGGCCTACAGACAGGACTTCACAATCTGCTGCATCTTTTTATTAATCTTCACTGATAGTCCTCATTCCAGAGCCACTGTAATTGTAATCCACTAAAAAGGTGATGTTTAGATCTCGTAGCAGTTCTGTGTGTGAGCAGGCTGTGAAATTGCTCAGCAGTGAAACCTCGCGCTGGATGGAACCAGCTGCACATTTTCAGAGCAAAGTTTTGTGTTGAAACTTGGTGTAGCAGAAACCTCGCTGCAGAATTATTTAAAATTGTTTGGACTCTCCCAGTGAAAGCATGATTTGTTTTGAATTCCCATTTTTAGCAAGAATCCTAGCATCTGACATACAGATATGTTCAAGGAGGATTTTCTCTAGACTGGACAAAGAATTACGTATCTTCTGAGCACACTAATTTAAAAACTATATAGAAAAAGAGAGGTTCTTTACCCTTAATGTGATTTTGCCTTTTTTTTTTCCCCTCCCTTCCAGATAATTCCTGTGGACAAACTAGTGAAAGGAAAATTTCAGGACAACTTTGAATTTGTTCAGTGGTTCAAAAAATTTTTTGACGCGAACTATGACGGGAAGGAGTATGATCCTGTTGCTGCTCGACAAGGCCAAGAGACAGTAGCACCAAACCTTGTTGCTCCAGTTATGAACAAACCCAAGAAATCTCTCAGTTCTAGTGGTGCAGGTAGAGAAAACAGTTGAAAGATTATCTAGATCATTGAAAACTCTGGGGAAAGTAGGGCTGGGTTGCTATTTAAATCAGTGTATGAAATGATAGTAGTTTGCATCCTGTTCAGAGGTGCTAGGCTTCACACAGAGTCATCCTGTAGTACCCAGTTGTCTGGAAGCTACAGAAGGAACAATCTTCTCTAAAAGAGAAAATGGCAAAGGTTGGTGCCAACACATGCCAAAAAAAAAAAAGGGATGTGTCACATGGAGTCAAGAAGAAGGAAGGAACGTTATCTCCAGACTCTGAAATGCCTAAGCATGTTTGGAAGGGGGATAGTACCTTTACAGGAGGAAGCGAGATGTTCTGAGGGGAACTAACACTGAATTAATCTTGCAGCCCCACAGAGGCCCATTGTTTCACAGAGGACTGCAGCAACTCCAAAAGCTGGTACTGGAATGGTCAAAAAGGCTGCGGGAGACGACGAATCAGCAGGATTGATTGAGCAGGTGTGTTGCCCACGATGGCCCCACGTGCTGACCTGAGCTTCACAGATTGATGTGTGGATATATATATTTTTTTTTATAGCATGAAATGACTGGGTCAGGCAGATGGAAGAAAATGATCTGAGTCTAGGTCATTTAAAATCACTTAATTAGAAGCCTTCATTATAATGGTCTTGCTCTTCTGATGGGAGTGAAACCCCTTCTGCAGTCCATGAGAACCCAGACATTTAAACCCAGTATGTGCCATATCACACATAGCATTGGTTGTAAGGATTTCCACAGCTGTGTTGCTGCTCTTGCAGCATTCCAACTGAGCTATGAGCAGCTGCTCCTTCACTGAAACGCTGAATGTAATACAGCTAAAACTGCCATCAGTGTGAGACTTGTCTTGAGAATGTGTCAGTACAGAACTGCAGGCAGTTAGTGTGTTACCTGTTTGATAAAGACTTCAGAATTTCCAAGTGAGGTTGCACGTGTCAGATGGGGTGTTTGTTGTGGCAATAATATTACAGTTTGAGAAATAGACCTGTTCCTCCTCTCACACTCCCCCTCCCTCCCACCCTGGTTATTTCTGAAGTGCTTTGCATATTAACACCCCTCTGAGAATTTTGGGGACACTGCCTTTAGAACTGAGTACTACTGAATTCTCTCTTCAGTGGCTAAATTATTACTGATGCCCTTTGGCAGATCAATGTACTGAAACTTACTGTTGAAGATCTGGAGAAGGAGAGAGACTTCTACTTTGGCAAATTGAGGAACATTGAATTGATCTGCCAGGAGAATGAAGGGGAGAATGATCCAGTGTTGCAGAGGATTGTGGAAATTCTTTATGCCACAGATGTAAGTAATCTGGTATAAATTGTATTGCACAGTTCCTCCCTCCCCTTGTTATTGGAAGCTGGTTTGCTTTCCAGGGCTCCCTCTATTTCTACTTGTGGTTTTTTTTTTCCCTTTAGGTTTATGGCCTAGCTTTTTCCTGTAATAAAGGAACAGATAACATAATTATAGTCAGGCAGCAAACAAGGTTAGCCTTTCATGAACAGTATGTAACAGATAGATCAAAGATGAAAATAACTCTCTGGTAGTATATCTTGACACTGTAAATGGTGACTTAAGAGTATCTCTCGTAAGTAAAAGGAAATTTAAAAAAAAGAGAACATACAGAGTAGCCAGGAACTGGTTTGACATCAGATTTTCATTAAAGCTCTTGTTTTCATTCCCCTTCAGGAAGGCTTTGTGATACCTGACGAAGGAGCACCGCAGGAGGAACAAGAAGAGTATTAACAGACCACATACTGTACCAGCAGAGCAGCAACATCAGAATTCTTTGCCCCAGATCATGTGCTTAACTGTAAAATACTCCACTTTATTCTTAGAGGACTCACTGGTTTCTTTTCATAAGCAAAAAAAGTACCTCTTCTTAAAGTGCACTTTGCGGAAGTTTCACTTTTATAGTGGGTTTGAGTTAGGAGCTCTTTCTCACTTCGTAGCAGAGCAGTATTCACATCTAGGTGGTATATTTAGGGAGCAAGAGGCTGAATATTTGGAACTTGTTGCAGAATGGTTTGCTGGTAAAACACTGGTTTGTAGGAAGACTTTTTTTGTATCTAAGGTGGTGTGTAGTAGAGAAATTAAAGACTCTGACTCACAGAAAGATTGAGTTAATGTGAAATTGCAGCACAGAAATTATAATAAATGCCTTAAGAGTATTTAAAATATGCTTCCATATGCCAAATTGAAGTAATGTGACAGGAGATTTTATGTGCTTCATATTGGGGTAGACGGTTGTTTAACTCCATTCACTGCTGTCCGAGAGGCCTTGCGTGGCAATCTCACTTTGTCAGCAAGTGCTCAAAAGGGGCTATTAAAACAAAACTCCATTCCTATGTAAAGCTGCTTACTAAGTGATTAGTTCTCGATGAAATAGGCCTTAACGTTGCCTGTCACAAGATTAGAGGGAGTATGAACAGCTGAGACACATAAATTACCTTGAAGAGTGCTAAAGCCTTTTTCTATGGCATTGTGGCTAATGACTTTGCCAAAATGTACTGTGTTTTCTGTAAAAGTAAAAAAAAAACCCAACAAAAAAACAAATAAAAAAATGGAACATCATAAAAAGCAAAGGGCATCCAGTCTTACTGCCTAAAATGTTCTTCAGAAGTAATTTTCTTTCCTGGCTCTTGTTTCTATTTGTCCTGTTTCTTTGTATTTTTGTTGGTATACTTTTTGGTCTCTCACTTGTTCTTTTCCCTTTCCCATGCCAAGGAATGCTGATCCAATCCAATAGTTGCAACAGGACTTGCACTGTGCAACTATCTTAGAATGAAAGTGAATTGAGCACATGAGGATGATGATTTTTCTCTTTTTTCTTTTCTTTTTTTTTTTTTCCTTTCAAACCAGGGCATATCTAATAATAATATTGCCAGTTCAGTAGTCTTCTGGGGTAAAAACTAAAAGATGCTGGCTAACAGAGCTAATGTTATTGCAGAAAATACAGTACTGAGACTAACTTAAATATTAATATTTAAAGTACTTTCCTTAACTGTCCTTTTTTGCTCTCATGCACCTCATTACTGTTGTGTTCGGCAAGATCCTGCAAGACTTCTGATCCCCTTCACTACTGAGATTGATCAGTCCTGTTGTGCTTGTATTCATTTGTTTCTGGTGGTAGCTTGTCCTAAAATGTGTGTAGGAGAGCATTTTATGGTAATTGTTGTGTAGTGCATGAATCTTTGTGAAATTCAGAGAAAAACCCAAATTCAGTGAATGCCAAAAATGCAAGTATCTAGCCATTGTCTAAAATTGCAGTGGTGCTATTTCTCTTGTGGCCTTCCAGATTTTTGTTGCCCTAAAACTCCATTTTACTGAGAAACCATATTTGACTTGGATTTTTCTTGACAGGGTTTTTCTATTTTAAGCAGTTTCTAAATAAAGTTCTGCATTTCAAGAGTGTCACGTCTGCTGGAGTCTCATGCTTTCAGATACGATTAGGCAAAGCTAAAGTTTGTGATAGTTTGTTTTCATGATGAAGCTTTTGCAGGACCTGGAATATCAGCTTTCATTCTCCAGTTCTGGTTCTAGTCTTTGCTAACTTGAGTAGCAGTGATGTTGAAACTTTCCTTGGCGTGTGCTGGGGGAAACCATTGCGTGAGTTTTGGGTTGTTTTGGTTTCTTTAGTTTTTTTTCCCCCCACAAGTGGATGATGTGGGTGTATTGTTGGCTTCTTCCTTCTAAAGGTGTGAGGATGAGGCTGTATATTAGGAATGCTGCCACCTGACTTTAAGCATGTTTAAAGTGTTTTAAATCTGCTAAAACACTTAACTTCTTGTTTGTAACTTGTATAACTGCGTCTGCCACCAGTCTGTGAGCAGATGGACTGTAAACTTAGTTGATCTGTTTCATTTGAAGTGTGTTTTATAGATGAGCTTAAATGTTACTGTCACAGATGTGTGCACAGACCAGCATCTTCAGAGAAGTCCTTACATGATGTATCTAACCTTGAAATTGGAAGTATTCCCTGTGGGGCTTCTCTGTCATGCTGGAGAACACCCTCCCTGCCCCCAGAGTGCTCTGTGGGTGTCTGATTCTGAAGAACAGGCATTGCTGGCGTTGGACTATGGAAGTGCAGACACAGAATGGGGGTTTTGATGCACATAAAATCTTCTCTACTGTTACTGGCTTTGAGGTCGGAAGCATATTTTTTTCATCTCTAAATATTCCATTATTCCAGCAACTTGGAGCAAAAGATGGCAATGGTATGTGGCTGAATTTGAAGAGGACTTTTTGGGTGTCTGCTCTTTGCACTCCAGTTGCGTGCTGGGACCAGGTTGCTTCAAGTCTCTCTTTAGCAGGATTGTGTATGTGGAACTGTGAAGCACCCAGGTCATCAGATGGGTTGCATTAGGTTGACTTTGATCTCTGCTAGCAAAGCAAATATCCTTTTATGCAAAGAGAATGATGAGTCAGAAATACTGCTGGTGCCCCTTGTGAGGCTGTTGAATGTGTGGGGGACCCACTGGACGTGCGTTGTAAAACTAAATTGAAACTGCAGTCTTGTAAGTCAGATGCTGCTAAGATTTCCAATTGCTTACATCACTTCTGTGCTACCAAGATGAGTTGTAAATGGGTTCAAAGTCATGTAGTCAACTTATGACTGCATTATAGATATCTTGGCATAATCTGTTTTTTAATGTCCTTTTTGGGAAGAAAATAACAATGAGCCCAACTCAAACCCATAGCTACTCTGTTACACTGGTACAGTATATGCTGTTAAATATTGAATGCTCACCTGCCGGAACAATTCTGATAGCATCCGACCTTTCTTAGTATCTTAGTTTTATCAGATATTTGAAACATGAACAGAATGGAAGAAGCAAAAGCTCGCATCTCCTTTCTGTACCAACATGTCTTACTTGCAGGTGGACTTGTGGATGTTTTTTTAACTTTTATTGTTCAATTTTTTTAAAATTCCTGGTTTGCAATGACAATTCTTACTGTAACTGTTAAAAGCCTTCAAATAAAGGCCGAAAACTTCCTTGCTGTTGTATCACATCACTATCTAATGTGACTGCTTGAGCACTCGGGTCACCTTGTAGTCTGTTTAGTCAAATGTCCATCCACAGGAATGTGCGTGTCCTTCAGGAGTGGGAGTTTCTCGGAATGTTCTGCCAAGGATAAGGCTGGAATCTTTTTCTCACAAGATAAAGGTATTTTTTGCAAGTTAGCATAAATCTAATGAGACTGTACCACAGATTTCAAGTGAGCCTGGTGCTATGTGGACCATGCCTCTCAATTTCTGTACTAGTGCAAGAAACAGGATAATAATTAGGGCTTGACATGTTGGCTCTTATTGCAGGGACTGCAAACAACCCAGGTTACTGGCAGAGAAACGAGTGCACCAGGGCACCCACGATATGTTATCAGGACAGCTGGAGAGTTTACTGATTTATAATGCAGAGAAAGCGAGGAGAGACAAAGTCGTTGCAGATCCACTTGTGGTTAATTGGAATATGAAATTGCAAGCAGTTTGGATGAGAGCATGCAGTGCTGCAGCTGCTGATGCGTGGAATGCAGCGAGTAAAAACTCAAACTGATTTTGCAGAAAGGAGACCTGAGTAAACTCTGGTGAGTAAGATCTGCTGGGGCGAGACTTTGTGTCTGTTGGTTCATCACAGAAACTGTGTTTGGATAGTTAATGGGCCTAGAATCAGAGGAAGGAAGGGTGTTAAATGCGACTAGAGAACAAAAGATATATATGGAAGCAGAAATTGGAGAGGGCTGCAGCTATAAAGAAACAAGGTAAAGGCATGGGAACAAACTCATGCCATGAAGTGGTACAGATAAAACTGGAAAGAAATCTGATGTGGGAGAAGACTTTTAAAGAAAGGAAGGAAAAGTGCAACCATCTTACTCTGACAGTGTGCTGAAAGATGGGACACAAAGAGCCCTCGGTGGCAGCTGCCTTCCTTCTTCAGATAAAACTGCTCTTTCTGCACCTCCCTAGAAATCCCAATCACAGTAGATCCTTATTAAATGCTTGGATGGATATGAAGAGCTTAAGAGCTCTGTTTCCTCATAAGTAATAGAGGAATGAGAGATCTTCCTTCTTACTGGCATATTACTAAGGTTTGTTCAAGTCACGTGGGCCTGGGAGGTTAAGCGCGTGGGTGATTAGCACGTGTAGGGCTTGGTACTGCCACAGCTACCCGGGTGGTATTATCTGAGCTGGTTAATCTTAAACAAGCTTGGGTGTGAGCTGCAGTCAAGGCACTGTCACAGCAAACTTGTTCATAAGGTTACTTCCATTCATTTGAAGTTTCAGGGTAGACATGGGTTGCTGTTGTTTAATGATCTCTTAGTCTTCAAAAACAGCACAAGGGGAAGGAACAGCCATGATGGAGGTGAGCAGAAAGCAGAAAAAAAAAGAAATAATGTGAGTTTTCTAGCTCTGCGAAAACATGATTTGGCTGGGCTCAATGAAACAGCTGCAATAGGTCACTCATTGCTTTGAAGACTCTGAAACTTTTGATCATTGCTTTGGGTGTGTTATATCACTTTGGTTTTTAAATGGATGAATGAATAGTTATGAGTTCAGATAAATATGTTGCAGTGAGTAGATGGTGTAAGCCCTGCCAGCCAAACCTACACGAGGGAGGATGCTCTCGGGGTCCTTGGGGATGGGGAGAGTTATTTTCTTCTCTACTTGAATTTCCCTGCCATGCTCTTTGATCAGAAGTACACGTGCACGGTTGTCTCTACCTTTGAGGCTGCTCCGAGCAGGAAACATCATGTTTCCATAATCCTTCTGCAGAGGAGCTTTTATTTTCAGTGCTGAGCGAACTGTTTGGAGGTTTTACTGTTTTCAGCCTCTTGCTCTCTGGGCAAATGAGCCCCCGGAGTCCACGAT